TTACAAAATGACAGACATTACAGTTACAATACAATTTGGTACAAGAGGAAACAGAGGGTCCGGCTTGTTAGAGATTACAATCTAGGAGGAAGGGTTGAGTGATACAAAAAGGTAATAGCTGTGGGGGGATGAGCTGATGGAGGAAATAAAAGGCAGTTTACTAGGTAGAAGCAGGATAGGCTTCTTTAAAGAGAAAGGTTTTCAGGGATCGTCTAAAGGTGGATAGATTAGGAGACAGCTGGACAGAATGGGGTAGGGAGTTCCAAAGGATAGGAGAAGCTCGGAAGAAGTCCTGGAGGCGAGCATGGGAGGAGGTGACACGGGAACTAGAGAGCAGAAGGTCTTGGGAGGATCGAAGAGAGCGGTTTGGTTGATATTTTGAGACCAGGTTGGTAATGTAGCTGGGGGCAGAGTTGTGGATGGCTTTGTAAGTTGTTGTTAGTATTTTGAATATTTCTAGTTGAGCAAGTGGAAGCCAGTGGAGGGATTGGCAGAGAAGGGTGGCAGACACTGAACGGTTGGTAAGGTGGATGAGCCTGGCAGCAGTATTCATAATGGACTGGAGGGGGGATAGTCTATGTAAAGGTAAGCCAAAGAGGAGGGAGTTGCAGTAGTCAAGGTGAGAGATAACCAGGGAGAGAATTAGGAGCTTTGTGGTATCATTGGTTAAAAAGGGGCATATTCTGGAGATGCTGCGGACATTGAGGTGGCATGATTTGGACAGGGATTGAATATGAGCCTGAAAGGATAGTTCAGAATCCAGGGTTACACCTAGCACTTTGGCCTGCAGGGATGGGTTGATAGTGGTGCTATTGATCCTGACTGAGAAATCAGGGGAAGAGGCACGTGGGGGAGGAAAAATTATGAGCTCAGTTTTGGATAGATTGAGTTTTAGGAAGTGGTGTGACATCCAGTCTGATATGTCTGTTAGTAAATAGGTGATACGTGAGGAAACTGATGGCGTGAGCTGAGGAGTAGAGAGATAGATTTGCGTAGCAAAGTTTTCAGAAATCACACCTGAAATCGCGCTGGTGACTTAATGTACAAAATATACCTGGATATTAACATTAATAGATGATTACTCCAGAGATTGTTGATTCAGGGAATATCTGAATGCCTCTTGGGGAATAAGGAATGAATTTTCTTTACCCCCACTGCAGCAAATTGGATCATGCTTGATAAGGCTTTTCTGCCTTCCTCTGGATCAACTGTTGGTGTAGGATTCTGTATATGGTGGTTTTGTATTTATTTATTTATTCTATTGTTTTATTTTTTTCTATTGGTTGAATTAGACGGACTTGTTTCTGACTAATTCACTTTGTAACAATTACAATATTTAAAGAGCATCAGAAGCCATGAACAGAAGAAGGAAAGGGTTAGAACAGGGGTGGGCAAACTTTTTGACTTGAGGGCCGCAATGGGTTCATATATTGGACCCGGGGGCCGGACCAAGAGTAGATGAATGATGTGTATGTGTCATCCATAGTAAGTATAGTAATATTCCCCCATAGTAAGCATAGTAATTAATCCCCCATATAGTAATTCATCCCCCATATAGTAATTCATCCCCATAGTAATTAATCCCCCATATAGTAATTCATCCCCCATATAGTAATTCATCCCCCATATAGTAATTCATCCCCCATATAGTAATTCATCCCCCATATAGTAATTCATCCCCCATAGTAATTCATCCCCCATAGTAATTCATCCCCCATATAGTACTTCATCCCCCATATAGTAATTCATCCCCCATATAGTAATTCATCCCCCATATAGTAATTTATCCCCCCTATAGTAATTCATTCCCCATATTAATTCATCCCCCATATTAAGTCCCCAAGTCCCCCCTGTGTCAATTCACTTACCTTTGCTCCGTGAGTTCCTCTCGCCGTGTTCCCGCGCCGTTCCGGTGTAGCATGAAAATCTGTCTCCTATGAGGATCTGTTCCCCTCGACGTATCTGCGCATGTGCCAGTTTCAGGCATTAGCAGCCGATCGGCGATCTCCGGCACATGCGCAGATACGTCGAGGGGGACAGATCCTCATAGGAGACAGATTTTCATGCTACACCGGTCTTCAGGGCGGACTGTGAGAGGAGCCTAGCTCCGCGGGCCGGATTAAAAGGTCCGCCGGGCCGTATACGGCCCGCGGGCCGTAGTTTGCCCATTGCTGGGTTAGAATCTCAGACAAGTATATTTGCCGTTTGTGCTGCTGGGGAAATCTACCCTCTTTATCTTACCAGGACATGAAGTGACAGGAAATCCAAAAGAGAGGATTTCCTTTACCTTATAGAGACTTCTTCTCATTCCCTGTTGTATCTTTACAGGAAAAAGTGAAGGAAAGGTAAAAAGGGACACAGACAGAAAAAAGAACCTGACAGGGGGTGATACCATTTCCCACTTCATCCAAAAAAAAAAAGTTTAGGCTTTAGAAATACCTGAAGTAATTCATCCTCCGAAATCACAACAGTGACCCTGAAGTTGAGGTTAAAACTTAAATTTAATCCTATTATTTGCTGTCCTTAGTTCATCAACATGCTAATGACATTTTGTTAGATAAAATCTTTCCATTTTCCCTCCAAATGTTATTTTAGACCTGATGATGTCAACACTGGGTCTCTGTGTTTCCCTGTGCAATCTAGGCAGATCATGGCTGGTGGGAGGCGTTGTACATACAGTAGCTTCATGGAAAAGGCAAGGTAATACCCACATATGATGCTGATCCTCAAAGATTGAAAGAACTGAAATACAGTGAATGAAAGGGATGGATCAGAGAGAGTTTAGCTGGGAAGGAAAGGGCTAGATGGTGATGAATATCCTCCAGCCAGGAAATGGGGCTTTATCCAATTTGCTGCAGCTTCTAATACACACTGTGAAAAGGTCACAGTGTGCAGTGAAATCAAAGGAAGCAGTTTCAGTACAGGAAAGGAGCCTGTACAACTGTGAAAGACTGAAAGTGGTTGTAAAGGCTGAAGGTTTTTTACCTTCGTGCATTCGATGAGTGAAGGTAAAAAAACCTTCTGTGTCCCCAGCCCCCTCAATACTTACCTGTTGTCAGGAATGGACTCACCACTGGTGGTGCTGTGGCTCACTTGCTCTGTGGTCTGCAGTACCAGCTCTACCAGAGGGTGCTTTCAGCAGCCAGGGTCTTACTCCTGCAATCAAGCCATCACCTGAGGCTGATTGCAGGAGGTCTATTTAAGCAGGACCAGGCCTGCAGTCAGTGCCTTGGTGTTTGTTTCCCATGAGCCCCTGTACCTGGTATCCTGTGAATCTTCTGTTGCCGACCTCTGCATTGTTCCTGACCCTGCTGACCGTCTCCTGTTTAACCCCTGGCTTGCCTGACCATCCTTCTGCCTGCTCCTCTGTACCGCGCTGCCCGCACGTTGCTGACCTGGCCTGCCTGACTACGCCTTACGCTACCCAGACGATCCATCCATCCCGCACGGATCTGTCCCTGTTACCAGGTCTGCCAGCCTCTTCACGTCAGGCTCCTTTCCCCGCACACCTCTGACGACGCTCTCTACCATTGCCGGACGTACTCAGGGGTCGTGACCTGGTCTCAGTCTGCTCCAAGTCCATCCCCACCATCAGGGGCCCTGGTGAATAAGCAGATTGGGACTTAGACCCCGCGCCCTGAGGAACCCCCTGCTGTGGGCTGCTAGAGACGCTGCCAGGCATTGCTTAACAGTACCAAACGGCCTGCCTGACCATTCCACCTCTCCAGCCCTGACTACACCTGTGTTCCCACACATTTCTGGTCATACCCGGATCCCTGACACCTGTGCCCTATTGTGCCCTCCTAGATTTTAAGCTCCAAGTAGCAGGGCCCTCGAACCCCTCATATATTGTATTGTTACTGTACTGTCTCGTGTACTGTCCCCCCACTATAATGTTCAGCGCTGAGCAAACCCTTGGCGCTATATAAATACTGTATAATAATAATTGTGATCCAGCAATGTGAATATACAGCTTCGTCTCATTGGCTGCTGTCAATCACAGCCATCCAGCCAATGAAGAGAGAGGGAGAGTGGTGCAAGGGTTTTGCACAGAGCATCCTGGATCCTCCTCTTCTTGGATCCCCAATAGGCTCTCCTGGCTCCTCCTTTTTGTCAGGTGCCCCCACAGCAAGCAGCTGTCCATTCACACATGGAGCAGTGGGTGCCCCCATAGCAAGCTGTTTGCTGTGGGGGAACCCAACAAAAAGGAGGAGCCAAGAGAGCCTGCGGGGGGACCAGAGAAGAGGAGGATCCAGGCTGCTCTGAGCAAAACCACTGCACACAGCATGTAAGGCTGGCCATACATTATACAATTTTCTTGAGAATTTTGCTTTAGCTTTACCAAAAACCATATAATATGAGGTCAAACCTAAACAACACTTTCAATTAGGCGGGCCCTTGCACTACATAGTTGAAGGTAAATCTAAAGGAAATTGGGCAGAAATTGAACAGAAAATTGTACAGTATAACATTTTTGTTATTTTCCAAAAAAAGAAAAATGAAGCTATAGAATGGCTTGAAAGGAAAGCTGGAGTTCAGTTTTTGAAAGTCCATCTCTCTGACCATGGTTCATGTTACACCCATAGTAAGGCATTTCCATGTTTTATTTTCAGCTGCAAAGTACCAATACCGAGAGCACCAAGTCACTACTTAGAAAGCGAGGGTAGGTTTTTAATTAATGGAAGGAAATGCGAAAAAGAGTTCAGTGTTTTCTGACGCTCTTATTGATTTTTAACATTCCACAAAATCTTTTTTAACCCCTTGTTTACCAATGTACGTTTTATAAACATCCAGATAGCCAAGGAGGTAAAGCAAGCTCACAGCTGATGCTGGAGTCATGATCTTGGTATTTTTTTTTCTTCTTTTTCCAGCCGACTCTCCAGGAGGCTGTAGAGCTTCCCGATCACCTTTACAGTACACCAAAACATTTTTATATTTAGGAGATCAGCAGTAGGATGACTCATCCACCAGCTGCTCATTTCTGGAAACCATCAACCTACCTGTATCTTAGCTGTGCAGTTCTGCTCTCCCACGTAACAAAAATCTCCGGACACATTGGTTTCGAACCAGAGGTGGTCACCGTACAAAGCCGACTCCTAGAAGAGGAGAGTAGAAATTATTACCAGCACATAGTAACCTGTACAATAAAGTAACCTGCCTGCACTACACAATACCCGCCCCTTGATGACGTTGTGGTGACGAAACGTGTTGGGCGTGGCCTACTTGATGCTGACGTCAGGACGCTCTTTTGGCAGTGTGTGTCGGAGGTGATCCGCGGTGAGCGGAGATCATTATCAGTGCAGTGCTGCATATTGCTGGTGAAGCTGGTGTCTGTGTTAGGGAACCGGGTATGACCAGAAATGTGTGGACTGACACAGGGAAACGCAGACTTCAGGTATAGTGTGAATAAGACAATTTATTAAGACTAAACAAAACATAGACACAGTGCAAGACTAAACAACAACACAGTGCAAACAAACCAACCCAAACCTCAAACAGATAACAATAGAAACAATACTAAGCGTAGTCGGGCAGGCCGGGTCGGTAGCAAACGGGCAGGCAGGGCACAAGGAGCAGGCAGAAGAGTAGTCAGGAATAGCCTAGGTCAGGACAGGCGGAGTTCATGCAGAGTCAGGGATCGAAGCAGAATCTGGATCAGGCGGAAAGCAGACAGGATGCAGGTACAGGGGCCCATGGGAAACATACACCGAGCCCCTGTTCACAGGCCTGGCCATTCCTTAAATACACCTGTTGTAATCAGCTTCAGGTGATGGCTCATTGCACGAGTGAGCCTCTTGTTGCTGAGAGCACCCGCTGGCCAGCCCTGGTACTGCAGCCCACAAGGCAGGTGAGTCCCACCACCACTGGCAAGTCCATTCCTGACAGTCTGTCTGGACACCTCTCTTGTTAGTTGTTTGGCATTTTAAATAAATTTACATGTGTTTAAAACGTACTGCACCATCAATCTTTTTCCTTTGTCCCTGAGTGAGATTCATATATGGAGATACGGAGTTAATGGAGAGATGCATCATGAGATCTATGGCTGTAGAGTATTGATTATTTCAATGAAATCCGATTACCATTAGTATTTACCTGGATGTGATTGAAAAGTTACTACAATTAACACCTGGATACCGTTTACCCATCGCTCCCAGGGCAAAAGCGCTATTGCTGTTCTATAATTTGAGCAGTATATAGCTCTGGTGAGTCCATCTAATTTATCTGGTGGTGGATTATTCACAATTTTATGAATTCACAGAGGAGATATATATTTTTATTATTAAAAATGTTTTGACTTTGAATTTTCACAAATTAATTATGGATATTTAATTATGTTGATGTATGAATTCACAGAGGAGTGATATACAGCCAAAAAAATCTTTGATTTACACAAATTAATTATGGACACTTAATTATGTTGCACAGATTGATTATGGACATTTAATAATATGGATATATATTTTATTTAGCGCATGCCTTTATTTATATATACAATACCTGATGGTCTAGGAGTCATCCAGCTCAAATCACGTTGCTTTCATAGGATACAATCTTACCCCAGCCACCATTTGTAAGGTATATGCCCCCCCACAACTCAGCTCAGGATATGTACAGCACCATAATGATGTCACTGCTATATTTACAAAGTAATATTTGGGTTTTCAAAGGCAATTGGGGCACATAAAGTGGATTTATATCCTGTGTGTCTATTCAGAAATGATTTAAATGGAAATTTAGTGTCTGGTGTTCAGCTTTAGGTATCAGAACTCTTTACTAAATAAAGTCCAGTTTAAAAAGCATCAGGGTGCTTCGTAGTGAAGGATCCAATCAGAACTCATCTATGGAATAGGCAGAAAACCAAAAAGATGACTAGCAATGTATTTCCACACACCACAGCACTTTGAGCTGTAAGATACAACTAAAACTAATGTCAGTTCTAGAAAGGTCCTTGTGGAATTACACTCCTTTTTTTTTTTCTTTTTTGGTAAAGTGTTACTAAACCCACAACAGTGAAATCAGTCTGTAGATGCAGTAAAGCATGCTTGTTATACTCACTGTGGAACCTAAGGGGTTAATCCTCTGCATTGTGTAAAAAGGATGTGTGATCCTGTCTTCTTTGATCCTGCCCTTCTTTTACTGTCCCCAATCCATCTGCCATAGTTAGAGCAGCAGTGGCAAGTCTGCACATGCTCTGTTTGGTGTTTATTGTATCGTTTTTCTTTTTTGGGGGTAGGTGCATGTGATCAGCACAGGGCCAATCAGCACTGTCCGGACAGAAGGTCAGTGGTCATGCAGCCTCATACGACAGTCTCCTAGACTAACTAGTGCTCGGCCAGACACTGATAGAAGTCACAAGATTGCTATATACTGCTGATGAGAAAAGGTATTCAGCAGTTTATATTTATTAAAATAATTGCATTTCCATGTTCTTTGTACTGTGGAAAACTGGATATAGTGAATGCAGGGTCTGGGGTTTAGTAACACTTTAAAGTGTATGTATAGCCAACATTTCCCGTAATTACAAAATCACAAAGTCATGCATGTTACGACTATTACAATTTACAATAAGCATCAGGTGTGTGTGAGGGAGGGGAAAAGGGGTCACAGGCCCGAAGCTTTATTGAAGGGGCAAAGACACACAAGGGGGAGTAGGGGGAAGGGGAGATCTTCAGACGTCCTCTTCCTCCTCAAAGTCCATCAAGGTATAGTCCCAGAGCAGACTGAGGATCAGTCTGCGGCAGTCCTCAATGGACATCCTCTCCCGCTGGTGGATGAGGCGCTTTCTGGAGCACCATAAAGCGTCCTTAAAACAACACAGCACCCGCCAGGCGCTGTCAATGTCCTCCAGAGTAAAAGTTCCACAGAAATGTCCGTTCAACACCCCAAAGTGTGTGATGGCTGTCTGTGGCACAAAGTCCTTGAGTTCGGGTTCCAGGGCCCTCAACAGGTCCTGGGCAAAAGAGCACTCCCAGAAAACGTGCTGAGCCGTTTCCTCGTGGATGATGCAGAAGGGGCAGTGCCTGTATCTGCTCAGGTTCCTGGCATGCATAAATGTCCTGAGAGGCAACCCCCCTTGGATTGCCATCCATGCCAGGTCTTGTGCCTGTTGGTGAGGCTCTTTGAGGAGACATCATTCCTCCAGACCACCTTGCAGGTGTCTGAAGGCAGGCCTGGAACCGACTCCAAAATGTCACTTGTTCTGATGAGCCTGTAGATGATCTTCGGTTTCCACAAGTCAGGCTTGACTCCCTGTAGCCCCTGCTCCTTGATAAACTTGAAGGTATCCAGGTAGTACCAAGGAGTGTTCCAGTTGTAGGGGATGGAACTGTCCCAATTGTCCTATCCGAGGGACCGCCAGAGAGGCAACAGGAAGAAGCGTGACATTGCGTTTCCGCCAGAATCCATATTCCTTTTTGTTAAAGTCCTGCGGATGCAGTTGCAGGCAAAGAACACCCTGAGTTGGGTGGCGATGTCGGGCATGCCCTTACCGCCCTTAAGGGGTTCCTTGAACATGACTGCCCGCTTAACTCTGTCCATCTTGGAGCCCCAGATGAAGTGAAACACCGCCCTGGTGATGACCTTGTGTGTATAGCAATGTATAGCCAACATTCTTTATCCAAGTATAGTACCTCTGATGCATTTTTACTGCCATCTGGGTACCAGCTGGTTAGATTTCATCCTCTTGACTTATGGTGACCACTGTCACAGAGACAGAAAGTGAGCGAAAGATCCAAACTTTTAGAGCTGTCCTCAGAGCAGGATGGGAGGGAAAATCTTTTAAAGGTGACACCTGATGTGCTGACAACATGCTTTTTTCCACATTATAGCAAATCTGATGGAGGAGTGGGTTACCATCACTTGCTGTAGTAAGGCCTCATTCACCCTGATGCAGGTGCGATGGAGTGCATGTGCATTCTTTAGTGTTCTCAAGCATCATGTTTAGGCCAACTCATTCATTTCCATGGGCTGCCCTACGTATGAGAAACATGCAAAAGAATTGCCCGTCCCTTTTTAAAAGTCATGCTGCACCAAAATGCATGGTGCGTTTTTACCATGCATTTCGGGGTGTGCGTGTTAGCAAGATGCATGGGGGTGTCATGAAAGGATGAAAGGATAAAGTCAGTTATACCCATATTTAGGGTCTAAAGTGTAACATGCTCCAGCACGTGGTCCTCACCCATCCTCTGATCCTCCCCACAGTGACAACGGGTGGGGGTTGCTCTCCCCGCAGACACTGTCATAATTCTAAGTTGTTATAAAAGCTCAAGGTTTTATGCCTGTATGCATTCTATGCATGATAGTAAAAAAAAAAACCTTCTGTGTGCAGCAGCCCCCTTAGCCCCCACTCCCCTTATACTTACCTGAGTTCCATCTCAATCCAATGAAATGCACAAGAGCCTTGCCTGTCCCAGGTCTTTGCCTCCTCATTGGCTGAGACAGGCATTGGCGCCCACTACTGTCAATCATAGCCAGTGAGCCAATGAGGACAGAGTTGAGGCAGGGCAGAGCTCTGGCTGTGTGTGAATGGACACACAGAGCAGCAGCTCCAGAGCAAGCCTGCTTGGGTGCCCTCATAGCAAGCTGCATCCTGTAGGGGCACTTTGCAAGAAGGAAGGTCCTGTAGCGCCGTCAGGGGACCCGAGAATAGCAGGATTGTGGCTGCTCTGTGCAAAGCCACTGCATACAGCAGGTAAGTATAACATGTTTGTTATTTTAAAAAATATGCCTTTACAATCACTTTAAAGAAAGTGTGGCAGTGCAGGCTCCACCCATCCAGTTGTGTCATTCATAGGAATCTGTGAATAAGAGAGCTACAAGTGCCATCTGCCACCACGCCAGATGGTTTGTATTTTTCAATAAACTGAGGACGCTGATGAGCACACTTATAGCTCATTCAAAAGTCCTGCAGCTTTCAAACTGACATCCTATATAGATGTTTGGGCTGAAAGCTGCAGGGCTTGTCTGCAGGAGCCTGACATTGCACACCTGATCCACTGATCACAGGTGCATTGCTCTGCAGGATCCTGTAGGGAAAAAAAAATAAATGCACATTTTTTTCTGCAAAATATGTGCATTTATTATTTTTTCCTAAAGT